AATTCTCAAATTCTTCTCAAAGCCATTTTAGCAGATAATACACATAAAGTTTATGAATAATAATTAAAATTTCATTGCTGTGATTCTCCTCATCTTCTCTCTCTCTCTCTCTCTCTCTCTCTCTCTCTCTCTCTCTCTCTCTCTCAACTGGGAACTGAACTCAGGACCTTGCACTTATCTGACAAGCACTGTGCCACTGAGCTATATCCCTGGCCCCTACTTTTCTTCATTAAATTCCCAAACTGGTCTTCCTATATGTCTGTTCAAAAAAGTAGATTACACATCTTGTGCCACATCAGTCCCTTTCTAACTTTTAAATATAAAAATCAATAAAAACCATTTTATCCTCTTATATATAAAAGCATTTCAATATATTTCTTTAGTAGGTTGCAAATATCAGAATAGTAAATATTAATCATTAATTGATAACTTACTGTGCGTTGCACTTTATCATTCTTTTATTCAATTCCTACAAAAACCTTCTGAGATATATACCATTACTGTTCCCATTTTGCAGAGGAGGAAGCAAAGGTTCAGAGGAATTAAGAAATTGTTGCAGATTCCAAATTATTGAGCCAGGATTCTCATCTAGTGCCATCTGAGTCCATACCCTGAAATTAGCTACCACATTCTAATTCTTTCTCACCTCATTTAGGCGCAGAAGGATAAAAATTATTATCTCTGGGGCTGGGGAGATAGCTCAGTAGAATAAGCACTTGCGTGGCAAACACAAAGGCCTGAGTTCAATCCCTGAAAAATTATTATCTCCATTTACAATTTAGAAAATGTGTCTTCTAAATAGATACTGCTTTTCATGACATACTACTTACTGCCATACTGTCTCTCAAGTAAAAGTTTGTTTAAAAAAAAGTAATAAATGAAAGGGGCAGGCCCCTATTAATAAATGAAAACAAGAGAAAAGGAAAGAAAATTCACAGGACTGTCCTGCTACACTGCTGTATATGGTTAGATTTCTAACTTTCTATGTAAAAATATGTAATTGTTTATTCATATTTCTTTAAATATTTTCTCATTTTTTAAGTTGTTTACTTCATATTCTGTAGGGACTTAAAGCTTAACATCAATATTTGATGGAAAATACCTGTTCCATGTTATGTCTAACATGTTTGATACTCAGACAGATAGCTTAAGTTTCTCTTCCAGAAGGTTAATAACCTAAGCTTGCAGGCCAATAATTGGAGAAAAATTAGGGTTGCAAGGACAGCCAACATTTTGGCCCTAGCCTTTCAAGGTCAGTGAGGACTCAGGACATAGGAGAACCTGTACTGTAAGACCATATAACTCAGTTGTGTCCAAAATTTTCTGATTAAAGAGATTATGGGGCCACAGAGAAAAGTGATTGATGATGTTGAGTGTGCCTAAGGAGAGTCATATGGGGAGAAAACATTCTCTCATGCTTTCTCAGAGAGCAAATTGGTCAAGCAATGGCTGTGACTAATCCACATGGCTGACACTCACAAAGGATCTACAAAATGTGGTACAGGGTTTTAGGGTCAATTTTGAGGGGATTTGACTGACCTTGTGAGGTACAGAAGTTACATTTCTTGTTATATAGGTCTTGCTTTATCCTGATCTTAATTATCCAGCAGGAAAGTATAATAATGAAGTATAAAAAGTAAAACCATATTAATATGCTGAGCTGTAAAAGGCACACGTCAACAACTTCTGACATTGCCAGTCTTACAGAAAACCCGCTAGCATTATGCACTACTGGACAATATTGGAATATTTTGCTGAATTCATTCACCTACAATATTTAAATGACAATGGAATAACCTTCTCTGACAAAACTAAGCAAAAAAGGGGGATACAAATAAATGACCATTTTGTATCTATATATTCAAAATAGGATAGATATACAGCTACTTTCTCTTAATTAAATGAGTAGAAAGATTTGTTCTAACAGTGTTTGTGGGCAGATATCATGCCTGCATCTTGTACAATAACAAACCACTAAGACAACAATATGCAGTGTATTAATTATTGAAACTGTCTTACTTTTTTTATCTGTGATCTTAGCAATTATTTTTTCAATAATTTTATTAAGAAACAAATAGCACTGAGACAGTTTCAAACCAAATTAGTAGAACAGTTTCAATAATTAGCACATTGCATAAATTCTTCATAGTTGTTCTTTGCTATACAAGATGCAGACATGATATTCTATCTACAAACACTTTTGGAATAAATCCCCCTATTCATTAAGAGAATGTAACTATATATCTATCCTAACCACTTTGAATACACAGATACAAACTGGACATTCATTTGTATCCCCTTTTTTGTTTAGGCCTGGTTAGTACTTGGATGGGAGAAACTGTCCTACTAATTGGTTTTGAAACTGCCTCATTGCTATTTATTTCTCAAAAAAAAATTTAAAAAAATTTAGATAATATGAATTAGTGATATTATGAGAATAATAATGAGGAATGTGACACTGGATCTTGGAGTGTTATTTGGTCAAGATTTATATATTAATTACAGCGAAAGAAATTTTTAAATTCTAATTTCTACACTTATAATTTTACTTTTTTAGTAATTAGTACAGGTTCTGTGGGGTCTCACTACACAGATTGGACTCATAGTGAACCTCCTGTTTTCAGCCTATCAAGTGCTAGGATTACAGGCATGTGCCACCATGCCTAGTCTCAATCACCATCTCAGCATTCTCTGGGAGCAGGCCTGGCACAGCAGACAGCCAAGGATCAAACTCCAATCCCTTCTTCTGCCTAAGCAGGTGCTTTAATCTGCTGAGCTGTCTGACCAGCCCTTACATTCTTATAATTTTAAAGTATGCATCTACCAAACTTGCTTTTCTATCCTTAACTAAATTTTTAAATTACTGATTTCTTATCATAAAATTCTGAATGTTTCATTTTTATCTCTGTAAAATATATTTGGTTTTCTTTGTTTCTAATATTTCTTAATTTTGGCCTTTAAGCAAAATTTTCCTAATTTTTCCACTTTTCTCGGCACTGTAATATCATTTCTCTTTCTGTGTCGGTTCTTTCTTCAAAGCAATTGTTCTTGAGATATTATTTGCCTACTTTAGCTTCCAAATCAATGAACTAGTCTTATCTGATAACTCTTTTCTTAATTCTTAATTTTTAGTTTAAATCTCTAATTCCCTGTAATACATTGTTATGCTTCCCCACAGAGGAAACTTAATATGCTAAAATATAACTCAACATCTTTCTACACTTAAATTTTCAAATTCCTTGATGTTTTTAAATCATCACAAGCTTGCTTTTGAAAAACAAAGCTTAAAAGTAGTATTTTACGAGAATTATCTATTTTATAACTAAATTTCAATTCAAAAAGTTGCTAACTTTTGTTTGAAATTTAATTTCCTGACCAAGTAGCTATCTGTATAAAGACGTCAATTCTGCTATTTTGAGGCAAACTTCTAATTAGAGAATGGTCCTTACATTGACCCTGAAAGGACATGTTTCAGACCACTGGAGTCTCTCTGCTTTTGTAGCCAGAGACTGGAAAAGATACAGGTGTTTCTGAGAAGCTGACTCTTCATCTTTAGCACATCTCCAAATACAAGTAAAACCACAAAAAAAATCAGTAAATTAAGTCTGCTATGTAAGTGCTATCAACTGAGTGATGCAACATACACAATGTAATTAGTGCATATGTTCAACTACATAACAGTTTGATAATATGTTCAATTACATAACAGTTTACCACTCACCACATTATGAGTACATTTAAGTAAGCCCAAATAATTCATATTTTTGTGTGACAGCTCCCCAGAACTACTTAAAATTACAAAACTGAAATTCTATGCCCGTTGAATAACTGCTTCCTACTTTTTCTGTCCCTCAGCACTTCAATGCTCCATTCTACCATGTTTCTATGAATGTGACTACCT